AATAATTTGTATTTTTCAAATTATCATTAAAATTATTGGACATAAAAGGACTTAGAAAAATTAATATAAAATAATTAAGGGTATTTTAATAAAAAAAATAATAAATAATTTTTAAAAAAGTCCTATAAAAAGAAATAAATAATTTTTTTTAAGAAAACGCCTTACATGTGGAGAGAGTATAAGTTTTTAACTAAGGTAAGAATAAAGAAAAAAAAAAGGTAGCGTCTCAAACAAATTATTTTCCTTCAACCTAATGTACGTGGTGATTCATATAAATATACGGGTGGGACCAGAGTTCCAATCCACGTAAAAGTGTATGCAGTATATGTTTACATTGACAAATACAAATATCGGAGATTCTATTTATTCGTCTATTTACACAGTATATGCAGTATAAGCTGTGTGGACTAATAACATCCAATCCGAATTAATTATTAAATATGTTCGTTCATATTGGATCACTTAATTAAAAAAAAAATATCATAATTTTAAAAATTTCAATATTATTGTTTGCGGGAAAAATCGTTTATGGACTCTTTTTATTTAAATTAGCAAAGTTTCAATTGAGATATGTATAACGTAGTAAGTTCTTACAATTTTTTATGGATGAATCTCATACATATAAACTACTAGTGACTTTAGTGAAATAAGCAAGCTAGCTAGTTGGGGTCCAGTTATATGTTATTTAGCATGCAAAGATTTTCAAGTGTTTATCGACAGTTATCACAAAATAAGATTTATGTATATAAATATTCAAATGAATCGAATGAATAGTGTATATGTTAATGATAGGAATCATAATTGGTTTGCTTCCATTAATTGTTGAATTACAATACATGAAGACTCAGAAGTAATAGAACTATAATATACTAACTAAAATAGACCTACTCTAAAAGATAAAGAAGAAAGGTGGTCAAGAAATTATACTCAATAGTCTCGTACACAAGAGTCATACACGTGAGTAATAAGTGTTGAGAAATTTCATAAGTATAATGTTTCTGACCCTCTAGATGAATAAGGTTTGTTTATTTATAGAAACGCGGGGAATGATGGTTACTTCGCATGATCTTAATGTGACGTATAACTGCTTTGCACATTAGGCATCGTGGGTCAACTTCTGTTAATCCACAATAACCTCTCGTAACCGTTCTTTTTGATTTATTGTTTAGTTTCACCTTCGAACCATCTCTGGGATTATCCATGTTAGTCGCTTCCTTGCTTGAGTAGAATTCGAGTACCTCCTCTTACTCTTCACTAGTAATATATATATTTCGATGTGCGTCCTAGTGCAATTGAAATTGAACTTCTCGAATAACATCTATAAAGGAGTCAAGATATTGAAAAGAACTATACAATTTTGTGAATTAATTTTGCTATAATATTATTGTAAAAATGTTTTTCAGATTACCATTAGTTCAATAATTAATTAAAATCTCTCAATGTTTTTGTTTTTTCAGTTAATGGTTTTGATGATGTTCCAACAAATGTAATAAGCATGAGGATTAATTCCTGGACCAAAATAAATGTAAGTTTTAGTCCCTAAAGATCTTGTTATGTGAATGTGTAGCTAATTAACATGGCTAATGGGAATAGACACCTGCAATTCAAGCTGATCCATTGTCTTCTTCCACCTTGGAAAGCCTGACATAGGTGCATGTGCATGTATATGTGTTCTATGCATATGCTCGTCTCCGTCGTTTTTATTCTCCATTAATGTGAAAGCTCTAAGTTATTGATAGTTCCAACTTCCAATCAGGTAATATGAGCCTCTTCAGGAGACATTTGTCTACAATGAAAACAAAAATATTTAGAGGATAATTTAACGTAATTTTTTTCATGGCTGCTCGATCAAAAACATTTATGAATACATGCAACTATATATATATATATATATATATTAAGATAA